TAGTTGCTGTATGTGGGACTCGGCCTCAGGATGGACGGAGAAGTGGTGCCTCGATGCGCACCCGGGATCCGAACCCGGGCCACCAGCATTGCAGCGCGCGCACTTAACCACCAAGCCACAGGGCCAGCCCAACAAGAATACATCTTATTTTTCAAGTAATTTTTTCCCTCTCTTATGTTAACAGCTTATTGAAAGCAAGCACTATAGACTCAATTTCACCCTAAAGAAAGGAGATCTATTTACAGAGTTTGGTTTCTCATGGAAAAGAATGCCGTGACCTAATGAAAAATTAAAATTTTCTGACAGATAATAAGATGCTCAGATCTTGTCATTCTTCTTTGTGGAGTCTTTTTTAAGATCAAAGGAAATGACATTTATGGTAGCCTTATTAGGAAATAGTTTCTGCTGAGTCCAAAGTCATTTAATACAGTTGTGCTTAGTGAACCTCATTAAATGGATGCTTCTTTTGAAAATCTCTGGAGTATGATTTAATAATGTGACCTCACAAACCCTTGTAGTGACTAACTGAAGTGGTTGCCAGCAATCTGGAATTTTCTTGCTTAAAATTCTGCTTGATTTTCCTTTCTATTCTTAAACTATATTGATATTCCTCAAACTTGAATGTTATAAGAAGCTAGGGTGTTTTAAAATGCATATTCCCAGGCCCTAGCCTCAAAGATTGTGGTTTCATAGATTGGGATAGGTTTACAATTTGAGTTTTTAATAGCACCTCAGATATATCTAATACAGGTGATGCACAGACCACACTTTTTAGGGAAATATTTCACTTAGTGAAAGCTCTGTATCACAGTGAGTTTTTAGACTGGCTAACCTAATTTTTAAATCTTTCTTTAAAAAGCTTTCTCGGGGCCAACCCAGTGGTGTAGTGGCTGGGTGCACGCGCTCTGCTTCAGCGGCCCAGGGCTCACAGCACTGCTTATCAAGCCATGCTGTGGCAGTGTCCCATATAAAGTGGAGGAAGATGGGCATGGATGTCAGCCCAGGGCCAATCTTCCTCAGCAAAAAGAGGAGGATCGCAGGGCCAGCCGGGTGGTGCAGCAGTTAAGTGCGCGTGCTCCACTTCGGCGGCCCTGGGTTCGCAGGTTCAGATCCCAGGCGTGCACCTATGCACCTCTTGTCAAGCCATGCTGTGGCGGCGTCCCATATAAAGTGGAGGAAGATGGGCAGGGATGTTAGCTCAGGGCTGATCTTCCTCAGCAAAAAAATAAAATAAATTTAAAAAACCCTTTCTCATTACAGAAACAGAAGATCTGTGGGAACTTGACTTTGCAGCATCACATGCTGGAACCTGTTCAGCGGATTCCCCGGTATGAGATGCTCCTTAAGGACTACCTAAGGAAACTGCCCCCTGATTCTCCAGACTGGAATGATGCTAAAAGTAAATACTTCCCCCCAACTCCTTTTCCATTATGGGATAATTTAGTGGCCACACAGCCTTGTGGTTCCAAAGTGAGATAGGTCTCACAGCCACTTTAGTAAAAATATTGCTGCCAGAAAATAGCCTCACTGGAAATTATCAACACCTCAATTAGGCAAGCACTTTTGAACCCAAATCACAGGTTTAGAGCAATGCAAATCACATTTCTTATGCTGGTTTCACGTTAATCATTAACTCTGAAATTTAAAACTATAGTCTTAGAGACATTTGAAATAGCAATACACAATTACCTTCTCACAGGAAGAATACAACCATTCAGAATTACTAGTGCTGCTGGTTAATTAAATAGGTTGATGCACACCAAGAAAGCTAAGATGACATTTACTGTGTAAAAATAACCTAAGGAAGTTGGCTCTACATACCCCAAAACAGAAGGGAAAATGGTGCTTTTTAGTGTCAGTTAACATTTTCCCCAAGAAAACTTTATTCCTCTTCTGTGAGTTGTCTTTTATTTTTTCATTGGATCATAATGAAAGGCATTTTAAGCTCAAGAGTTTCAATAATAATTTTGCTTTCTCATGTACATGATCATGTACATGATTTCTCATGTAAAATCAATTAACTACGAAGGGAAGAATGAAAATTTAAGAAATGGAAATAAGTTAGTATTCAACAAGTACTAACAATACTGGTATACAATCTTAAAATGTTGCTTCTTTCCCTAATAATTTCTTGTCTTTTGTTATAAGTCAACCTTGATAAGAGATGAGGAACACAAAACACAATCTTTGGTCTTGGAGCGTGGGTCTTTTTTTGAGCGCAGCCTGTCTCTCCCACCATCCAAGTGAGTCGGTGACCACAGGACCTTCTCTTCTCCCCTTTCTCTCTCTACAGTTTAAAATTATCCTGACTTGTCTTCTTCCACTTTCTACTTTTCACTCATCTGGCCTGAGTGTTTGGTTTTAGTGGCAGAGCTAGTGGTAGGATTGGAGATGGGATCGCCTCTGCTGCTACTCAAACTGGTCCCTTAGGCAGTGGCCTATCTTCTTTTGTTTTCCTCCACCTTGGATCCTGTCTGGAACGCGCGGAATTGCCCAAATCAGGATGGTTCTCCAAAATGTAAATAAAAATTCACTTTCTTCTTTACTCAAAGACTTTGACTTCACCTAAGGCGCATATGTCAAAAATGATAAAATTGGCGACATAGTAGGGTATTTTATTACTCTTTTTGGTTTCCCATTGCAACTTACACTAAAATTCCAAGGGAATCATATAAGTGCGTTTAAAGACCTAAAAGGATAGGGAAAAGCAACAAAAGTCCATTCTGTTCAGCAGTGGAACAAAGAAGACAGAAAATTTGGTCCAGAGGTGGTTGTGATAACAGAATTTAGCAGACCAGCATTCACAAGATAGAAGAGAAAGAAAGAGAGCAGGACATGATTTAGATGGAGAGCAGTCCTGGAGCTCCTACCTTGCCCAAACCAAAAGAGTTCCCATCCCCATCTCGCTGCCACCTGCCCCAGCAACAACACCCTCCATGGGCATTGGCATCAGAAGGTTCTCTTTCAACTGACCAAGGCTAGAACTGTGAGTATGTTTTCCGAAAGAAGCTGGTTATGCTTAGTAGTTAATTTGCTCGTAAAACTAATGAAATACTACTGCTGAAATGGTGTAGAACTTTGAGTCAGAAGACCTAGGTTCAAATTGGCCCTACAATATCTTACTTGTGTGACCTTAGCCGAGTCACAGTGCTCTCCATTGCTTTCATCTGCCAAATGGAGCTAATATACTTTCCATTCAAGGTTGTATAAGAATTAATTGACATAATACGTATGAAAGCGCCTGGCAAAAGTGCCTCGTACCAAACTAGTGTACATGGTGTTTGTTGATTTTGAACACTGCTTACAAATGAACTTTTGAAAGTATCCAGTTTGTAAATGGAAATTGCCCCTGCTTTTGTCGTGTGTCTTTGGTCTCAGATTTCTTCTTCTTGTAGTGTATGTTACTCAGCTATCTAGTAGCATAGTAAGGACAAAATATATTTATTTACTTTTCTTTTTTCCCATTTAGAATCACTTGAAATTATATCTACAGCAGCAAGCCATTCTAACAGTGCAATAAGAAAAATGGTAAGTGGTTTTCAGAGGAGAAAGGAATCTTCTAGTTAGATCATTGTCAATAATATAGCATAATATTATCTACAGATTTGGGCCAAAATGAATTGATACAGGTGAACAAAAAAGATTGTTTACAAAATGTCTAGTGTTATCTGGAATAATCCTCTCTTCTCCCGGGTTTCAATTTGCTCATAACTGATACATTTTATACCAAAATTTATGCTTAGTCCCAATCCCTTCTGAATTGTCCATATTTTAGCTAAGGTCTTTGTATTATTAAAGCCACTGAGGTGAAACCTCCTTATATTTGATCTTGTTGTTTTGTTTTAATTTCCTAGGAGAACCTAAAGAAGCTCATAGAGATTTATGAAATGTTGGGAGAAGAAGAAGACATTGTAAATCCTTCAAATGAACTAATAAAAGAAGGACAGATCCTCAAACTAGCTGCTCGGAACACATCAGCACAAGAACGCTACCTTTTCTTAGTGAGTATTATAGTGTGAACAAGTCACATAAGAATAATTCATAAACATTGTTATATATGTCTTAGAAAAGTAGGATGCTTGCTTGCTCACAAAAGCAATTGTATCTACCTGGTTTAGTCAGGATTCCACATAAGGGAATGTCCTTAGTAACTGAAACTTGTTCTTTCAAGGACACAAATCTTTTTTTAAAATATTTTTCTATAATTTTTCACATATTGAAGACAATTTAACCTTCCCATGATGATCATAGACATCAGCTTGTATGTGGGTATGATATGCTTTCTGAAATCCTCCTTTTCTTGTTTAGATTTTCTCTTTCTTTTCATTCTTCTAGGCGAATGGGTACCATCTCCTGGATATTTTGTAGGCATAATATTTCCTGACAACAGTTCTCTTCCTAAACTTCTCTAGTCACTACTTTTTTTTTTTTTTTTTTTTGAGGAAGATCAGCCCTAAGCTAACATCCATGCCAATCCTCCTCTTTTTGCTGAGGAAGACCGGCCCTGAGCTAACATCTATTGCCAATCCTCCTCCTTTTTTTTTTACCCCCTTTTTCTCCCCAAAGCCCCAGTAGGTAGCTGTATGTCATAGCTGCACATCCTTCTAGTTGCTGTCTAATCACTACTTTTAATCTTTCTAGTTGGAAGAAATATATAGCCAAAATATATAGGCAGGGTTGTAAAACTTGTGCCTGAAGTATCTTTGTGAAAAATACATGAGTTTGCTGCATAGTTCCTTTCACTACAGTCAGTTCCTGTCCCTTCCTTTACTTCTGGGAAGTGACAATTAGTCTGAGGCTTATCTCAATGTAAGAGCTCTTCCTGGGACATCCAGGCCATTATATTTTTAGTCTCTGTTAATTCCACTTCCTTTCTATATCTAATGATATAATAATAATCATCGTAATAGCTAAACTGAGTAACAATAAGCTAACATTGAGTAATAGCTCAGTAAATGTTGGCTATTATTATGATTGTTATTAAAGGCAAAGAAATAGAGACATATTGGTAAAGCTGCTGCCCAGTGACTGGCACACGATGCATTCTCCGGATGTTACTCACGTCTGAGTTTTCTGCAGTAAGGCAGTCATCTCACCAGCCATAGTATGAATTGTCATTGAGCGCTTGGAGGTTTCTGTTGTCTGGTTACAGCGTCCCTTGAAAGGAAAATTTATAGGAATTAATGTTCAGTATCTCTCATTTTTTAAAAAGAACACTTGGTCCCCATATGACTCACAAGTTCTACTCTAAGTTTGTACAAGTCAAGAAAATTAAAAGCCTATGTCTACATAAAACATGGACATGAATGTTCATAGCAAAATTATTCATAATAGCCAAATGTGGGGACAACCTAAATGTCCATTAACTGATGAATGAGTAAACAAAATGTGGTATATCCATGCAATGAAATATTATATGCCAATAAAAAGCAATAAAATACTGAATACATGCTTCATGGATAAACTTTGAAAACTGTGTCAAGAGAAAGAAGCCATTCACAAAAGGCCACACTGTATGATTCCATTTATATGAAATGTTCAGAATAGGCAAATGCATAGAGGCAGGATGTACGTAGTGGTTGCCTAGGGCTGGTGGGGAGGGTGGAGGAAATGGGTATAGTGTTTCCATCTGGAATCATGAAATGTTCTGGAATCAGATGGTGCTGATGGTTGCACAGTTTACAACTATACTAAAAACCATGAATTGTACATTTTGAAAGGGCAAGTTTTATAGTATATGAATTATATCTCAGTAACTTTAAAATATTTATAGATATTATCCAAATGAACTATAAAAATCTTCATTGAGTTCAACAGAAGTACTGTGCTTTACAGAGGTTATACAGAGAGCTAAATATAAATCAAAGATGTGTGATGTCCTGTCAGGGTTCAGAGGTCTATTTGTTTTGAAATGTAGGTTTTGTTATTCAGGTATGGTGAAGCCACCAGATCAGGAGACGCTTTCCATCGAAAAGACAGTTATACTCACAGATCCGAAAAGAAGGGGGCGTGCCACATCACGGGGGCTGTACAAGAAAGCGCCAGGATCAGGAGGCAGAGGGAGCAAGCAGAAAATGTGGACAAGAGCCTTTATTGTGGTTTCTGCCAGAAGGAATGGGCAAGGCAGGGTAAATAGATTTAGGATTCACTAGATTAAATAATTTCATCAGGTTCTGGGGCAAAGGGGTTGTAGGGCAGGGGAATACAGGTCCAGAGTATAAGAGCTCAATAAAGGAGGTGGTTGGGGTGTGGGTTCTGGATTGGTTGGTTTCCATATGAAAGGCATGCTTGCAAGTGAGTCATTTACTATCTCTAGGAATTGATTAACCCTGAGGGTCAGTCCTTCCAGTGTCAGCAAGGCCCCAAGATATCAAAATATCAAAAACACAGATTAAAAGACATATTTAGGGGCTGGCCCGGTGGTGTAGTAGTTAAGTTTGCGTGCTCTGCTTCAGCAGTGTGGGGTTTCGTGGTTTCGGATCCTGGGCGTGGACCTACACTGCTCATCAAGCCATGCTGTGGTGGCATCCCACATACAAAATAGAGGAAGACTGGCACAGATAGTTAGCTCAGCGACAATCTTCCTCAAGCAAAAAGAGAAGGATTGGCAACAGATGTGACCTCTGGGCCAATCTTCCTCACCAAAGAAAAGAAGACATTTAATACACATTTCTGGTCAAAATGCCTGGGAGTCAATATCTTACCCTTGTCTCTGGGTTTACCTTTAGGTGCTTAGGTAGTATTTCTTTCCCCTCTTTCGCATTAGTGTTAGTTTCTATAGTTAAACGTTTAGCTCTAACCAACTGTCTTGGTTTAATTTTCACATTTGAGAATTGTTCTGGAAATAGTTTTAGGTTGAATACCTTGATGGAGAGCCAAACTAAGCAGCTATTTGGAGGACAGGTGGCAAAGAACCTTGGGGGGAATACAGCAGTAGTAACTTTGAGGAGAGGACCCATCTGGTTTTAGTTATTATAAGCTATCAAACATATCACGCCATTGCCTCCCAGGAGAGTGGAGTCATATGACAGGAATTTTAGGAAAGCCACATGCGACTTCTGAACACCATCTGAGAACCATTTCCTGTGGTGTTCATTCTTTTAATCCTCCCCCTCCAGTACTGTACTTGTCACAGAATCTCTCCTCTCACCAACGCACTTTTATTCCCGTAGAGCATCTTGTTTTTTTATGTGTAGAAACTTCAGAAGTACCATTTTTATTTTGATTCCTCTCTGAAAAGAAAATGAGGGCTAGTTTTCTGTTTCCTACTCTGGGGATATTACACTTGTCTGAAAAGCCAAATTATATTTAGAATCTGGTTTCGGCTTTCAAATGATCTTCACGTGTTTGCGTGTTTGCTTGCCTCCATACCATACTTTTTTATATTAATGTAGGGTGCTCTGTTGACTAAGTAAATAACCACACCTGACATCTGAAAGTTTACCAAAAAAAAAATGTCCCATAGAATGACCCAAGAGGTGAGGTTTTATTCTTGGCCCTTTGGAGTTCTGTTCCGTATTTCCTTGTAGCTTGACAGATTTAGGTTTTTTTCTGTTGACTTATTTAAACTTTGACTACAGACCAGGCACTGGAAACTTGTCCAATAATGTACTTTTACCTTCTAAAACAAACTTTAATGAAACTGTCACTGGTGAGACATGACATGAATTATTTCAGTCAAAAACATTTTTAAGAGACTTGAAATAAATAGTTGAGGAACACTGGAGATCAAGAAGGGGGAATGTCGGGCCGGCCCCGTGGCTTAGCGGTTAAGTGCACGCACTCTGATGCTGGCGGCCCGGGTTCGGATCCCGGGCGCGCACCGACGCACCGCTTCTCCGGCCATGCTGAGGCTGCATCCCACATACAGCAGATGTGCAACTATGACATACAACTATCTACTGGGGCTTTGGGGGAAAAATAAATAAATAAATAAATAAATAAATAATTATTAAAAAAAAAAAAAAAAAGAAGGGGGAATGTCCCTATGCTTTTAATAAAATTGAGACTGGCTTCTAGGTTTTGGCACAGCCAAGCACTTCTGGAGTTTGCCTCGCTGAACAGAGATTGCTTGGTCAATAAGTACTTCTGAGCTGTGGGCATGAACAAAAGAGATCTCCTACACTGACAGGGAAAGTCAGTCTACTCACTGCTACAGTTACTGTAACTTCCTCTTTAAGTCCCAGCAGAAACCCAAAGGGAAGGTGACGGTGGCTTTTGCCACAGGAGCAAGGTTCATGCTACCTAATTCTTTTACATACATGACATCTACTTCTTTGTAAGCAATCTTTTATATCCTTCAAGAGCTCTCACCTTCACCTCTGGGAAGAAGAAAAAGGTATTTATTGACTAGCATTAGATTGTGATCTGAGTTATGGAAGGTTAATATATAGTTACTGACCATTTAGAATGTGAAGTTACACTTAGGGAGAATATAATAAGGGAAATGTAATCCTGAAAGCATGAAAGGGAAAGAGAAACATATCATTATAAGATAGTCTGTCATCTTGTATAACTACAAAAAGCAAATGCTGAGAACTTCCATATTCATGGGCGTGTGTTTCAATAAAATAACAAGACTGCTTAAAACTTTATAAAGTAAACTTGAGTACAAGTATTGGAGAACTCTGAAATTTTATGCCATGACATTACATTTGTCACTCAGTTTGCAGAAAAATTGAGTGGTTGTTGCTGTCTTGAAAGTGTGAGCCCTGTCCATTTTGGTGGCAGTGTTGCAGCTCCTGCTGTACCATTCACAGCCTTGACCAAATCCCCTCCTGAGAAGGCCTTGATAGAAGAGAGCAAGAAAAGTTAACACGAACAGTTAGCAGGCAAGCTGTTGCCTTAATCAAGCTGGGATGGTGATGAGAACCTTTCAGAGTGTTTTCAAATCTCTAACTCCCGTGTACTGCTGTTGCCATACTTAGAATACAGTGGACAGTTAATGATAAGGCATAGGTTATTAGTGTCCTCTTCTAGAAATGTAAATGTGAAATGCGGTGCTGAGATATATCTGATGAAACGTATTTAGTGCCCTTTTATTTTTACATTATCCAATGTGGAAATGAAATTTATGAGACTGGTTACAGAAAGCTGCAAAATAGTGTATGAGGAACAAGTGGTGAGAAATTGGCTTTCAGAATGAGTACAATGGACGGTGTCACATAAACATGTTGAAATGTTTTAAATATCCATCAACTGGAGTGAGAGGACCTGGGAGAACAGGACATTTTTCCTCATTTAATTCTCTAAACAACCCGTGACTTTTTACAGATAATGATCCTGAGATATGAAGGGTTACATAGCACATACGGGTTTAAGTCCCCAGTTGCTCCTGTAGAAAAATATGTGTAACCCTAGAAACAATAAATATGAAATAGAAAGATAAGTATGGACCTTCTTTAGGAATCTGCCTACAAATTAACCCAAATATTTAGACTTTCATCCTTTTGCACATTTTAATATATTTCAAAAGTGAATTAGGGCCGGCCCCGTGGCTTAGTGGTTAAGTACGCGAGCTCCCCTACTGGCGGCCCGGGTTTGGATCCCAGGCGCGCACCAACGCACCGCTTCTCTGGCCATGCTGAGGCCGTGTCCCACATATATCAACTAGAAGGATGTGCAACTATGACATACAACTATCTACTGGGGCTTTGGGGAAGAAAAAGGAAAAGGATTGGCAATAGATGTTAGCTCAGAGCCGGTCTTCCTCAGCAAAAAGAGGAGGATTAGCACGGATGTTAGCTCAGGGCTGATCCTCCTCACAAAAAAAAAAAAAAAAAAAAATGAATTAAATGCCCTCCCCCAAATCGTTGCTTGGTCCTGATTAGCAGGGGCTGTTCTTTGTTGATGAGAAATGAGGCACTACACATAATTTGATCCAGTTTCAAAATAAAGTCTTTCAATTTAAAGGTAGGTTTTGTAAAAAAAGATCTTTCAAGTCTCTTTGCTAAAGTAGACGACTTTTCCTTTGCTAAAATAGATGACTTTTCTGTTAATTCATACATGACAAATTCTTAAGCAAGATGTGGGCCAATATGAAACAGTGACTTTGTTTTTTACATAGGGTTTAGTGTGCTAATCCCGTATGTTCTAATGAAACTTAAACTGATAATATGGCTATTTTTTTTTACCTTAATATTAAACACACTGGTAAAAATAATTACTAAATATTACTTTTTTCCTGTAACAGCTATTGTAGACTTGCTCTCTAAGACAGAACAATTAGAAATTTTGTTATCTAAGGGCTTCAACTTATATGGTTGAGAACTGAAGTTTCTGGTATATAGAAGATCCTTAATAAATTGTTGCTGAATTTAATTGTACAAATTTCCTTGATAGTACAAAATGATGATTGGTTTACTTAAATATCAAAATATTTATGAACCGACAGAAATATGTTACAAATATTAAAATATGATAATTTTGATACAAGCATAACATCTTAATATAATATTTAAATAATTTTGCTTATAGAAAGTATGACATTCCCTGGAAATTCCTTGAAATTTTTGTCTGGGGCTACTTCCAGTGTAGGTCACCTTTCTCTCTCTCCTTTGTTTTCCTGTTTATTGATATGTGTTCTGCCTCCTTGCAGTTCAACAACATGTTGCTGTACTGTGTGCCAAGATTCAGCTTGGTGGGCTCTAAATTCACAGTTCGAACGAAGGTTGGCATCGATGGAATGAAAATCGTAGAGACTCACAATGAGGAATATCCACACACTTTTCAAGTATCTGGGAAAGAGAGAACACTGGAACTGCAAGCCAGGTAAGAGAACCATTCCTATCACACAGCTTTCCGAAAGCATCAGAATGAATCATAGGACAGAATAATTCTGAGCATCTTTCCCAAGTAGATGCTACAGACCTCTAGGATGACTTTGGTTGGACATAAATGGAGAGATGTAAGCTCTTGATAGGCACAAATCATGTCTTCTCTTTTGATTCATCCATGATGCCTAGGATACTGGTTTTCAGAAGGTAAGCATTCAGTAAATTAAATTGACTCTTCAGATTTACAAGGTGCTCAGAGAATGAAGTTGTTGCATTCAAGCCAGAGTTTTAAGTCTTGTAGGTAAAGATTCTCCCCTAACCCTTCCTCCCTCCATCCTCCCTTTTAGTGCATAAATATTAAAGATGTTTATTATTCCATGCTAAATGTTGAAGGTTTAACTATCAGTCCTTCAGAGGCTCTGCTTTCATGATACTTGGCATTTTGATGGAGAGAATGTTCGGAGGATGCAGGGTGGAAAAGGTGATGATTTTCCTGCTGCAGTTGGAGGATACGTGAAGGGGGCCATTTGGAACTGTAGTGGCCTCTAGCAACCAGGACTTCTGGAAGGGGTGGCTGTTCTTATGTGCTTTACTGAGTGGGAGAGAAAAGGCTCAAGGTACAGCCTCCATCCTCCTAGCATAACCATGTTTGGAAAGAAAAATACCTGAGCACCACTGCAGTAGATCACAGCTACCTCATGTGTGAGACTCGGGAAGACAGAGTGCTGTCAGGTTTTGAAATATCTGCTTTAGGAGACTGTCATCTATTTATTCTATAAAGCCCTAGCATGGTGAAAATTGGGATACTCCAGAAGGTCACTGATCAGAGGGTTAAGTACCAATCCCAGCTCTGATGGCTCTGATACCCTAGAATCTGTGGAGAATCAGAGAGCCCTTCTGTTCCTTTGCACCAATAGCATTGGTTCTGGCTGCTCAGGTGAATTCATCCTGCATCCTGTACTTAGTAACTGCCTAAGAGCTTAAACTTCAGACTTTCAAAAAATAAATCATTTTACCAGGAATCTGCCCAGGGATTCAGGGAATTGGTGAAATTACAGTTATGGAAGATGTGGCAAGCTGAGAAGGTTTGAAAAAATGGCCAGCTAGGTCTTTGATTTCCCACAGAAAAAAATATACTAACCCTGGCATTATTTAGGGAACTGCCAGGGGACTTCTCTGAGGATTAAGAAGGAGTTTCAAGCATGAGTTAAAATGGTGGAGGACTTGACTTTGAATGTCACAGTTTTCTTACCTTATCATGGTGGGATTTGGGCCCCAGCCATCAAACCCAAGAGAAGAACATATGGTGCTGTGCTTGGAGGCTCCTGACCCGAGTCCTCACTCAGTGGTTGACTCACTGAGTGATTGGCCCTGGCCACAGGGAGGACTCATCAATAGTTTTGATCATTACAGAAGTCTTCATTGCAGAAGAATGAAGGTGCTGCTGGCTCTGAAATATCAGTGTACTTCCAAATCTGCAAACTCCAGAGGTGTCTGCCCAGCAGAAGAGAGATTACCAAGGTTTCTTGGATTGCCTAAATGCCCTCCATTAGCAAGTTGGGCTGTTTTTCTTCAGGATGGGTCTGATTCACAAGGAATATTCTTAAGTACAGGCAGTCATCACTTTGTAGAGTTACAGTATGCAGTGTTGGATACATTCTGATTAGTATCAAAAACACAGTCATTTTTTCTTAAATTTCTTATTCCCCTAATCTCATGGCTCTAGTTATATTTATGATTATATGGTGAGTTGAAGATCTGAATTAAGTGATTACTTTTCATCTAGTCTATAATGACTCTCTTCAAGAATGGAGACAAACACTGAAGGTCCCAGAAAGTTAGAGTGTCAGAGGGATTGCATGGAACCCCAAATTGGTTATATATTTGGAGATATTTAAAGAAAATTCACTTCTGAAGCCTAACTGGGAAAAAAGTGTTCTGCTTTTCTTGCTAAATGAGTCAGCCTCAAGACTGACCTCTTCCTCTTCCATATTCAAAAGAATATAAAGTATTTAGTTTTATATAGTTTTTATTCAATGGTTTTTCTATTGCTAAATGGATATAAAAATAATGAGTAAATTAAACAAACAAGTAAAAACATCTGCCATGACTGAGAAAGTGAAACTACAAGCATTAAGACTCAAGTTTCTTTGCATTTAAAAGGCTAAAAGCAGCTAACAAATAACTATGCTCCAGGGCAATAGAGCTGATTTTGTGGGGGCAGGGCATAGTAGTAGGGAGAAATCTTTTTTGAGGGGCAAGATTGAAGCGCCCGCCACCAAGGTTCTTGGCCCAAGGATCCCCAGGTGAACAATAAGCAGAATCTTCCATTTGAAAAGCACAGATTCCAGCAGCATTCCTGGCACATCATGGCGCTCAATAATAGATTTGCTGGAAAGATGGATGGTGTCACAGGAGCAAACCTCCTGCCAGACTCATGCAGTGATGCCTGTGGGACCAAGGCATGTGACATTCAGGCTGGAGTGCAAACTTAGTCCTAGCTACCAAACACATGCAGACAAACAGAACCCACTTTTTGACACTCTTCAAAATCCCTCAATTTGGAGATTTTACTTAGTCCAGAGTCCAAAGGGGAGTTTCCTAATATAGTATATGACAGCAGCCAGCTGTGTAACGTACTGTTACTGAACCAGGTTCATTTTTGCCCGTCGCATAAGAAGCCAGTCTCTGAAAGGACAAGGTTGCAGCAGAGAAAGGGTTTTAATCACAAGGCAGCCGAGCGAAGAGGCAGGAGAATCAATCTCAGATCTGCCTTCCCAAAAATGGGGACTCAAGGACATTTATGGGGTGGGGGATAACATAGTCTGAAGTGTGGGGATAGATGATTGGAGGTAAGGAAAAGTGAGGTGGTTGATGATCTGTGCAAGTGTAGTCCAGCTTCATGGCTCTTCGTAGGATGTATGTTCACAAAATGGCGGTGCTCCCATGATTTGAGGGTGGAGTTTTTAGCTCCCTGACATCAAAGGGTCATTTATCAGTCATCCGCACAGGCCCAGTTGATGAGTTGGTGGTCTTAACCTCCCTGAACTGGACAGAGTTGACTCTCAGTTTCTGAAAAACTTGAGCACCCCACTTGTTACCATGGTGACCCAAGTGTCAGAGATGTTATCTATAGGGTGGGCTTTAGTAATGCCTTATCTAACTAGTATAGTTAAAGCAAGTTGGCCCCCGGTTTTACTACCTGCAAAGGAGATGAAATAAAGAAAATTTGCCTCAGCAGGAAAATAGGAGACTTGACTATAGTCAAGAAAATTGTTTCCCAACAGAAAATTATTAAATACTGGGGTCCATTAATCTGTGAAACTTTCTTCCTAGAGGCATTTAAAATTTTTGTTTTGCTTTATAATGGGTTAGGTATGGTATTGCCTGAAGCCTCCTAGCAAAATAAAATTAAATTGTTTACCAAAGGAAATGTTAAATAGCTCCCTAAGGCCCTACAAAGATATTTTAGATTCTTGAGGATAATTGTAATCCTTTCTAAGATGGGCTGTGACTAGTAGCCTTTAAATGCCTCGTGTGTTTTGGTAAAGGTGAATTAGAAGACTAGTTATATATCCAGTATAATGTTAGATCTAGAGTTAGCTGATGTATGCAACAAGATGATGGCTTTTAAACTTAATGTCGGGGTAGTATATTAATGGAAGCTAAACTTAACTCTCCCCACCAAAAATTATGTGTACCCAAGTAAGTGGATGGTCTAAAACTCTGTTTAAGAATTTGTTTGTTCAATTGCCAGAGATTCTGTTTAATTTTGCTTGTAACTCCTTCCTGGAAATCCCTGAATTTTCCAGAAAGTTAGAACAACATTAAAGCATAGCTTTATTTACCAGGTGTAACACATTAATGTTCTCTGTATTCACTTTAATTTTGTTTTGTTTTAGTTCTGAGCAAGACAAAGAAGAATGGATAAAGGTAAATCTGATTTCTATTTCCATTTTTGTTTTTTGGTAACTCTGTGTACACAAATGTACCCATATTGTCGTATTGTGCACCTATTGTAGTCATCAGAACAACATCATTTAATTTTTAAGGTGATTCCCATCACAGATATTTGTTTAATAAAGTATTTTCATTAATTTGCACGTGATACTTTAATGTATGCTTTGAATTTCATTTATATTTTAGGCTCTGCAAGAGACTATTGATGCTTTCCATCAGAGGTATGAAACCTTCCGAAATGCAATTGCAAAGGATAATGACATTCACTCAGAAGTTTCTGTAAGTTGGATTAAATTCTTTTCTCTTTGCAGTTGCAGAAGATCTATCTAGTCATTTTGTTATCTATGCTTTTTCCTTTGCAATGCCAGCACTGGCTATTTAGGCAGAATCTCATTCCTTCTTAGATGAATACAATAGTGAGTGCCTTTTGAACTGCTTAAACTTCTTTGAACCTTTTATTTCTTTTCCTGGGTCTTGGGTTTCAGAACATGGTATGAGCAATGTTGGTAAAGTGCTTTCTTAGGGCCGGCCCCGTGGCTTGGCGGTTGAGTGCGTGCGCTCCGCTGCTGGTGGCCCGGGTTCGGATCCCGGGCGCGCACTGACGGACTGCTTCTCCGGCCATGCTGAGGCCGCGTCCCACATACAGCAACTAGAAGAATGTGCAGCTATGATATACAACTATCTACTGGGGCTTTGGGGGGAAAAAAATAAATAAATAAAATTATAAAGTGCTTTCTTAAAAAAAATAAGTAAATAGATAAAAGGAAATGACAGATTTTTTTCTATTAAAATTGAATCTCGGGCTGGCCTGGTGGCGCAGCGGTTAAGTGCATGCTCTGCTTTGGCGGCCTGGGGTTCACAGGTTCGGATCCTGAGTGCACACCGATGCACCGCTTGTCAAGCCGTGCTGTGGTGGCGTCCCATATAAAGTAGAGGAAGACGGGCACAGATGTTAGCCCAGGGCCAATCTTCCTTGGCAAAAAAAGGAGGATTGGCATCGGATGTTAGCTCAGGGCTGATCTTCCTCACAAAAAAAATTAAATAAATAAATAAATAAAATTGAATCTCTCTTTCCTTTGTTAGACTGCTGAACTAGGGAAAAGAGCCCCACGATGGATCCGAGATAACGAAGTAACAATGTGTATGAAATGCAAAGAGCCTTTCAATGCACTGACAAGAAGAAGGCATCATTGTCGAGCATGTGGACATGTAAGTGAGATTTCTTGGTCATTAAGGTTGCTAGTAACTAGATGAGTGTTGTAAAATCATCAAAATCATTTAACTCATAAACTTGTTTTAGTGACAGCTATGTGAAGAACACTGTGCTGGGTCCTGGAGAAAAAATGGCAAGCAAAATGATACCCGCCTTCACATAGCTTACATTCTAACGGAGAAAACAGACCAGACTCAAGTAAATAGACAAATAAGCAATTCAAATTACTATAAATGCAAGAAGGAAGTAATCAAGAAGTTAAAATGGAGAGTAATGGTAATGGAGAAGGATTTGGAGCCAATTTTACTTAGAAAAATGAAGACTTATCTGAAGGGTTGATATTTAAACTGATGCCTAAAAAGTGAGGAAGAGCTAACCATGAGAATGGAGGCGGGAAGAGCGTTCAAGCAGTGAGAGTGTGTGTGTCAAAAGCCCTGAGGTGAGCAAGAGGTTGGTCTATTCTTGAGACTGCCGAGAGGTCATGTGGCTGGAGCACAATTAGTAAGGAGAAGTGTGGTGTAAGAAATAGGAAGAGAGAGAAATAACCAAAGGAGTTGATGTCTTTGAGAAAACAGGTGGAACCTCTAGCATAAGTGGAAGTCCAGGCTTTTGATGGGGAGAGGAAAACTTCCTCTGTTGTGACAGAAAGAAAAAAAGAAAAGATGGATGCAAATGTGGGCGTGTTTTTGATTTGGTGGTGGGAAATGAGAGAATTCAGGTCTGACGATATCCATATTTTCATTAAGTATGAGGCCAAGTCATCAGCTGAAAATGAAGGGGGAGGGAAGAGGGGTGTGGAGATTCGAGAAAGAGGGCGAAGTATGAAATAGTTGTCTCTGGGCAGGGAGAAGTGAGCCTACCAGAGAAACAAAGGTGGACTGCTAGGTGCCATTAGAGGTTTATGCTTATAAATTTAACAGGGACACCCTAGTCCATTTAATGGCTGTGATGTTTCTCTAACAAAATTGAGCAACTCAAGCTAGAGAAGGCCGATGACAGGTTTTCAGTGATTGGTTGTTTCATATGGAAAGAGCGAGGAGGAACAAAGCATGAAATGAAGCTGGAGAGAGGTAGTAGCAGGTTTTGGAGAGCCTTGTAAACCAAGTTGAAGATTATATACTTTGTTCTAAAAAGCAATGAGTAAACAGAGAGAAGGGTAGGCCTTTGCTGTCATGATCTAACGTATTATTAATATGCTTTAAGTGCAACAACTCTTGTTGATAGTTCTTTTAGATTATTCCCACACTGTAGATTTATTCTTCCTCTTTTCCTAAGTTTTGACTTAGGAAAAATTAAAATTGATAGCAAACATCTTTTTTTCCTCAGGGTATGACTTTTTAAAATTTATCATTGACTTTGCTTGAAATATTTCAGGTATTGACATACGTGCCTTCAGTAAGCAAACAAACATATGTTTGTGGGTTATCAAAATACTATATGATTTGAAAATAAATGAGATATTAGTTGATATAAATTTACAGATACAGACATGTCTAATTTCTAAATCCTAATTTCTTTTTTTTTAAATTTTTTGTTTATTGCAGTAACATTGGTTTATAACATTGTATAAATTTCAGGTGTACATCATTATACTTCTATTTCTGCATAGATTACATCATGTTCACCACCCATATACTAATTACAACCCATCACCACACACATGTGCCGAATTATCCCTTTCACCCTCCTCCCCCCCGCCCCCCTTCCCCTCTGGTAACCACCAATCCAGTCTCTGTCTCTATGTGTTTGTTTATTGTTGTTGTTATCTACTACTTAATGAAGGAAATCATATGGTATTTGACCTTCTCCCTCTGACTTATTTCACTTTGCATAATACTCTCACTGTCCATCCATGTTGTCACAAATGGCTGGATTTCATCGTTTCTTATGGCTGAGTAGTATTCCATTGCGTATATATACCACATCTTCTTTATCCATTCGTCCCTTGATGGGCACTTAGGTTGCTTCCAAGTCTTGGCTATCGTGAATAACGCTGCAGTGAACACAGGGGTGCATGTATCTTTACGCATTGGTGTTTTCCTAGAGTAATTTCATTGTAATTATGAGAAAACAATGAACAAGTTTTTTTATCATGAATTTTACATACTGTGAACCTAAACCAAAAAATTTACTAATATTTATATTTCTTAAATACAGTTTGTCCACTATAAATTGGGAGAAAATATGCTTCTAGAAGCAAAAAGATAATTATTTTTAGTGGAAGTCGTAATAGTTGATAACATTGTGAAATTTCAATTGTACATTATTATTTGTTAGTCACCATATATATGTGCCCCTTTACCCCTTATGCTCACCCCCAACCCCCTTCCCCTCTGGTAACCACTAATCTATTCTCTTTGTCCATGTGTTTGTTTGTCTTCCACATATGAGTGAGATCATACAGTGTTTCTCTTTCTCTGTCTGGCTTATTTCCCTTAACATAATACCCTCAGGGTCCATCCATGTTGTTGCAAATGGGACAATTTTGTCTTTTTTATGGCAGAGTAGTATTCCATTGTATATATATACAAAACATCTTTATCCATTTGTCAGTCGATGGGCACTTGGGTTGCTTCCACGTCTTGGCTATTGTGAATAATGCTGCGATGAACATAGGGATGTATAAGTCTCTCTGAATTGCTGATTTCAAGTTCTTTGGATAAATACCCAGTAGTGGGATAGCTGGGTCGTACGGTATTTCTATTTTTTTAATTTTTTGAGAAATCTCCATACTGTTTTCCATAATGTCTGCACCAGTTTGCATTCCTGCCAGCAGTATCTGAGGCTTCCCTTTCTCCACTTCCTCTCCAACATTTATTATTTTTTGTAAGAAGATAATTTTTTAAACTGGAAAGTTTTTTTTAACAGTTATCCTATAATAATTAGAAAAAAATACCCTTCACTGGGCAATAACATGCATTTGCATTATAGTCACACAAGTACATGATTAAAAACTCTAAATCAGTGCATGAAGAAAAGCACAGGGAACTTTAGTGTCACAGTAACAAGAGATGTGCTCTAATCTGGAAGTTGGCGGAGTCTTCCTTGAGGAAGTGAGATTTGAGTCAACATCTGAAGGATGAACAAGTCAACACACTGAAGCAGAAATGAGAGAGGGAGACAGCATAGCACGTTAGGGGCTGTAGAAAGCCAGTGTCACTGAAGATACAGGGAGTTAAGAGGAGCAGATTATGCAGGAATTTGTAGGCCAAGATTAACAATTTGTTCTTTATCCAAGAGCAGAGGGAAGACTTTGAAGGATTTTAAATAGAGGAGAAACATATCAGATTAACATTTTTAAGAGGGCATCTGGTGCTGTTTAGAAAATAGCTTAGAGGAATGTAAGAGTAGAAGCTGAGGGCCAGTAAGAATGCTACAAGGACCAGTCATGATGCTGTAGTAGTCCAAACTAGGTCATTGATAGCTTGGACTCAGATGATCAGGATGATGTAGAAAAATGGACAGATTGAAAAAATACCTAGGAGGTAAAATTAGCAGGACTTTGTCATATGGCGACTCTGTAGGGGTGAGATAAAGAGAGTGTCAGGGATGATTCCTAGGTTTCTGACTTGCCGTGGCTGGTTAGATGGCTGTGATATTTCCTGTCATAGGGAGCACTGTGAGAGGGGGACAGGTTGGGAGGTGAGGAGGGGTAAGGAGAGAGCAGAGGGCAGGGAAGATCATGAGTTCACTTTGGGAGAATATTGATGAAACATCGAGAGGAATGAAGAGTAAAAGTCTAGACCAAGCCTTTGAAGATCTCCTACCTTTAGAGGCCAGGAAGAGAAGGATGAGCAAGCAGAGCCCATCACAAACACTGTAACACCACGATAAATACTCCTAATGTTCATGGGGATAGTCTTAGTCTAATAAAATTTTGCCTTTTATATTTAACTCTTGCTCATTTATTATTACTATAACTAATTATTGCTTAAATATTATTACTCTTTAAATATGATTATTCACTCTTCATTATCTTTTTAAATTGAAGGTGGTTTGTTGGAAGTGTTCTGATTACAAAGCTCAACTTGAGTATGATGGTGGTAAATTGAACAAAGTTTGTAAAGACTGTTATCAAATAATAAGTGGATTCACAGACAGTGAAGAAAAGAAAAGAAAAGGAATTTTAGAGGTATGAAACATTGAAATGTTGGATATCTTTTAGATTTTCATGTAAGAACATAGAATTTTTTAACCCTGAAGAATACAAATAACACATTTTATTATTTCTCTTAGTATTTAACAATTTGGAGAATGACAAACAAGATTCATCTTTTTGTTCTATATTGCTGAATTTGGGGATCATACTCGGTTGTATAGAAAGAACAGAGGTGGTGCTGTGTTAAACCAACATGCATTTGAGAGTGAAATATATTGATTTTGTGAAGGTAGCTATAGTCAAATATTAGAGTATTAATTGTCATCTCTTCTAATGCCCAAATTATTACAGTATATTTTTTAATAGAAAAGCTTTTATCTCAGTTTCATTATATTGGCTTTGAAAACACTGCATGAAATTATTAAAATTTAGATTAAAATATTACCTGAAAAACTGTTCCAACTTATTGCATTAAAAGCAACATTTAGGGCGGGCCCCGTGGCTTAGCGGTTAAGTGCGCGCACTCTGCTACTGGCGGCCGGGGTTCGGATCTCGGGCGCACACCGACGCACCATTTCTCCGGCCATGCTGAGGCTGCGTCCCACATACAGCAACTAGAAGGATGTGCAACTATGACATACAACTATCTACTGGGGCTTTGGGGGCAAAAAAAAAAGGAGGAGGATTGGCAATAGATATTAGCTCAGAGCCGGTCTTCCTCAGCAGAAAGAGGAGGATTAGCATGGATCTTAGCTCAGGGCTGATCTTCCTCACACACACACACAAAAAAAATTATTGAAATGTCTTGCAAGTGAGTTGACTCATGTTTTAGAATAAATTCAGACCCGCAAGCCTGGGAACTGTAATGCAGCTTGTATCTGAAATGAGTTTCATACCCAAAGATACTAACAACATAAGGAATAAATTATATTAAGGCCTTTGTGGCAGAAGGTTCAAGATAGCCTGGAAAGTCTATGAAGAATAGGCTCATGATCAAAAGTCTGTGTATCTAAAGTCATATACAGGGCCGGCCCCGTGGCTTAGCGGTTAAGTGCGTGCGCTCCGATGCAGGCTGCCCGGGTTCGGATCCCGGGTGCGCACAGACGCACTGCTTCTCCGGCCATGCTGAGGCCGCGTCCCACATACAGCAACTAGAAGAATGTGCAACTATGACTTACAACTATCGCTTGGGGCTTTAGGGGAAAAATAAATTAAAAAAAAAAAAAAAAAATTTTTAAAGTCATATACATACTTGGTTTGTTAAGAATTTCTATGGTTTATTAAGAATCAGTGAGTGTTTATTGAGCATCTATGCTATATAAGCATACAAAGGTCATTTCTGTTAACTGAAAAAGGATCATAAACTTCGAGGTCCATTTGAAGTTAAACTATAGGCCCACAAGCTAAAGGTATAACTGAATTCTTTTAGGATATAGATGTTGCTTGTATGGCAGACCAAAGTGGGGCTTTCTGGGGCAGGGAGGGTAGAACGACGCACTTCAGTGGCTCCCAGGAACACAGCCTCAAGACTTAACAACGGATGAGACTGGCATAGTATAATGAATCAAATAACTTGCTTTGAAGGGTGAATTTCAGGCTGTATCTATGAAATAAAAATCTCTAAGTAGTTTTAAGTATTATCTCAAGAAAAACTTATACTTGAGGAAAAAATTAATCAATTACTAGGTTAACACATTTAATCAAATAAATATATAATGTGAAGTCCATAAATAGAAGATAAGTGTGTATGTGTGCACATGCACACACCCATAACACATATTTGAAACTTGCTTTGTGCCAACTAGTTTGTTGTGTACTCTACACCAAGGGTCAGTCCTTTTCTGTAAAGGACCAGAAAGAAAATATTTTAGTCTCTGCAGGCCAAGAGGCAAAACTGAGAATGTTACTTCTATAACAAGAGAGAAAACATTTTCACAAATTTTTCCTGACAAAATGCAAAATATAATAATAATTTAGTATGAAGTTTTGTAATATGGTAATAAGAATGGAATTATTTGAGGAGAGGAGAGATAGCATTTCACTTAATTGGAGTCTAAAGTTGGTGTTCCCTACCATCAAATTGATTTTAAATATTCATCTGTAAAAATCATTATCTCAGGTTCCAGGACAAAGATTGCTGGTCAGTATTTGCCTTTTTGCTTTTGCATTTTTACATGGTTGACATTAGTATAGCTTTGTGGTTAAAAATTCACACTCTGGATCCAGACTCAAATTCTGCACACCAGTTCCTAAATGTGTGATTTTGGGAAAGCTCTTTCATCTCTGAACCTCATAGATAATGAAAGTAGTAACTTCTCAGTGTTGGTGTGAGGATTAGATGAAATAATACATATAGCGAACTAAGAAAAGTGCCAGCATAGTAAGCAGTCAATAAATGTTTAACTTTATTTAAATTCAAGGTCTAGTAATACAAAGAGTTGAAATTGACTTAAATATTTTCCCATGCTAGTAATTGCTCTGGATGAGTGTTTAAATCATAATTGCAGATGAACCATTTTGGGGACAATCCCAGGAGACATTTTATATAAACACATTGTACTTTACGAATGTTCCCTTAAGTTGAATTATTTCTCCCTCTGGTTCATTTTGTGTTCATTCTCTCTCTCTCTCTCACTTTCTTTTCATTAAATTTTTTCTAGATTGAATCAGCAGAAGTATCTGGAAACAGCGTGGTGTGCAGCTTTCTTCAGTATATGGAGAAGTCAAAACCTTGGCAGAAAGCTTGGTGTGTGATCCCCAAACAAGACCCTCTTGTGCTGTACATGTACGGTGCCCCCCAGGTATCTAAACTGCGTCCATCTGAAGGGATTCTCACCTCCAAATCCTGGGTTTCATTACAATTGAAAAATAATAAGTAACTAAAATTCAAGTTTATTTAAACTGATTGATTCCTTTTATAGCCAATAATTTCTTTACCCTATGGATCATTTGTCCCATTCTCTCATTCCTGTTCAGTGGGTTTAAGTTAGAAAAGGTGAATTGAATTAGGAAAGGGACGAGGAGAAGGGAGTGAAGCAGAGGGAGAAGCAAGAAGAAGGAGCCTTTATAATAATAGGAAATACAGCAGTTTCCCCTTATTCACAGTTTTGCTTTCCACGATTTCAGTTACCCATGGTCTGAAAATATTAAATGGAAAATCCCAGAAATAAACAATTCATGAGTTTTAAATTGCACACCGTTCTGAGTAGCATGATGAAATCTCATGCCGTCCCACCTGGGACGTGAATCATCTCTTTCGTCCAGCATATCCACACTGTATACTCCACCCACCCATTAGTCACTTAGTAGCCGTCTCAGTTATCAGATTGACTGTCATGGTATCACAATGCTTGTCTTCAAGTAACCCTTATTTTACTTAATAATGTCCCCAAAGCGCAAGAGTAGTGATGCTGGCAATTCGGATATGCCAAAGAGAAGTCAAGTGCTTCCTTTAAGTGAAAAGGTGAAAGTTCTCAACTTAAGGAAAGGAAAAAAATCGTATGCTGAGGTTACTAAGATCTACAGTAACTTTTATTACAGTATATTGTCATGTGTTCTATTTTATTATTGTTGTTAATCTCTTATTGTGCCTAATTTATAAATTAAGCTTTATCACAGGTATGGAAGTATAGGAGAAAACACAGTTATATATAGGGTTCGGTACTCTCTGAGATTTCAGCATCCATGCAGGTGGGGGGTGGTTGTTAGAACGTATCCCCTGCGGATAAGGCGGACTACTGTAATAGTAAGCCTTTGTTTTTTTTTCCTGAATAGAGGGATACTTGAAAAAGAAAGGAATATGAGAGGAAGAGGAGTTTAAATCAACCTGGGATTAACACTGTCCTGTAACAGTTTTTTGAGAACCATACGTGCATGGCTCTGAGATAAATCTGTAGGAACAACAGACAAGCAGGTTTCCCTTCTGACCAGAGCAGTGCCAGGCACTGTGGATTGTGTTATGCTTAAAAAACAAACAACACTTAAACCAATTGTGCGCTCACGTGGAAATATATAAAATTTTAAATGTTACCTGTTGTATTTTAGCCTATTTCTGCATTAAGGGCTAGTAAAACTTTATTTTAGAAATAGACTAAAAATGCCAAGGTATATATTTTATTCTATGTTGTTGTTTTTCCTAGAACCTTTTACTGTCCATAAATAGATAGATGAATGAATGAAACACCAAATAAAACTGTGCTTGGTAATGAAATCACCGTTAATATTTACTGGTTTTATATAATAAGATGACTATTCTTTTCTTTGCTTTTTCACTGAATGAAGAGCTGAATGGGCTCCCTCACAGAGAGGTGCGGGCTCAACGATTCCTAGCTGATTTAGGTGTCAGCTCCCATTCATTAACTCATTCAGCCAGTATTATCAGTGGCCTCACGTACAGGCAGTGTGCTAAGTGCTGGGTCACCATCTCTGTCCATGGAGAGCTCACAGTGCAAGTCTGCGTGGAATGGTCATAGGAAAAGAAGTGTAGTAGAAGCCAGATCATGAAGGACCATGCATTTCATCTTGTATTAGCAAGCTAATACATCTCACACTCTTATGTACCATGTTTCTCCCCTAGGACGTCAGAGCCCAGGCCACCATTCCACTCCTGGGCTATGTTGTGGACGATATGCCGCGGAGTGCAGACCTGCCACACAGTTTCAAACTGACCCAGTCCAAGTCTGTGCACAGCTTCGCTGCAGACAGTGAGGAACTGAAACAGAAGTGGCTGAAAATCATCCTTTTAGCTGTCACAGGTGAGACACCAGATGGTCCTAACGAGCATCCAGCCACCTTGGACGATCATCCTGATCCTAAGAGAAAATCAGAATGCTGAACTCCAGGACCAACCACGGGTGGCGGGGTCTCCAGATTTACAGCTCAAGACATTCCCAGCTCCTTATTCCTCTCTTAGCACTTTATGTTGAAAAATATAGGCTCATAAATGCATCTTTTGGGGGACTATTTTCATATGTTGATGTGCTCTTAGTGAAATTAATGTGCAGAGCCATTCTACCGATAAAAGTTTGAAATAATGTGAAAAATGGAGCATTTTTTAATGAGATATTCCTTGATTATGTGCTTTTGTCTTGAAAATGGTATCAATGGATTCTATCACTATCAGGTTAGAATAGGCCACTTTCGTTTGAGAAATCCTTTACTGTCTTCTCTTTCACATGTAGGACTTGTAACAGTTTGAAAGATATACCTCTGTGTTGCCAAAACAGATCCGTGGTTAAAAAAAAAATACAGGGACAGTTTAGACTATTATATTAACTTATTTAATTTAGTTTATAAAGCTCCACCTGCATAAATAATATATGTTCTTTTGAGACAAAAGAAGAAGGACAAAGTGTTGGTGTTCAAACTTTCAACTTATTAAGAAAAGATAATACTTGTTTTTGTAGAAATACTCCTAAGAATAAAATATCTTAACTATATAGCAATTATGTATATATAGTATTAAATATAAATATATATATACACTATACATGCTTTTCTCTTCAGCTTTAGGTTCATATTTGTCTCTAATTTATTTTTTAACTATAAAGCATGTTTCATCTTGGAATTGAGCAGCGTTCTAAACTTCAGAAATGTTTTTGGTGATTTATGTTTAACTGATTGACATCTAAGGGTATTGATATTTTTATAATAAGAAAAAGCAGTAATTTATGTGGCATGGGATATATTAGTGAATTCCAACAGTATTTTTAAAGTACTATTTTTTTGTTCTGTGCCTATTTAAAACAGTGCCTCTCTTTGAAGGTGCTAACAATACCTATTTAAATGTAAGATGAGAGTTTTAATTAATGCTTTGGTCTTGATTATTCTGGGATAAAAGTGCATCTTGGTCACTGGGATGGTGAAAATCGTACCGGTGATTTTACCTTTTACAATCCTCTAGTGGTCGCAGCAGTTAATATCAGTGTGTGCAAAAATTTTCACCACAACCTGAACTGTACAAGATACCTGACCTTACACAGAACTGGGACATACGGAAACTACAGTTATTGTAATGTTTTTCTTTACCATAAGACTGTTAAGGGTGGTTAAATGAGAACTATATATAATTAACACTTAAGATAACTGTGTGGGCCTATTCCTTTGTCAGATGTGAAACAAAATTCACGTGACAACCTATGTTTGAGGGGGGTGGACAGATATTAATGGGAGTTTACGCTGAACTCTTTAAACCACCTCACTAAAGGAGAGAGGGGGAGAACACAATATTGAAAAGCAATATTTTAATGGCAGGATTTGAGGAGGTACAAGATGATTGAAGAGAGTCTGAGCATTTTCTTCTCTTATCCTCTGGTGAATTTTAATAGACAAAATGTGATGCCTTGTCATGAAGGCTGCTCTTCATTATATTGTAGTTATGATTAAAATCTCGTGTTGTTGGTTAACTTAATCCTTTTCTCAAATTAGATCTCTTTTTTTTTTTCCATTTACCCTGTCATGCCCCAAACATTACCCCTTTCTAATGCATCAGTTTGCTAGAAATCCACAAGAATGACCCCACTGTCCTCAGCCTTTGGGGATTACACCTTAAACGTAGAATGGATTCACTCAGCATTTGAGATTGCCACACATTTATTTAGGCCTTGTTAAGAAATATTTGAAATAATCTCCTTTTCTCCCCCATCCCAGAGGAGCAGATAAACTAATTATGGCTGACATGATTAGGGTGCCTCCCTCCATAAAAGGAATACTGGCCATGATCATTAACATTAAACCAAATACTCGGAACCAAAAAGAGATAAAGGTAGCTTCTTAGGCCCTATTAAGTCAGGGACAGACTAAAAAATTTTACATTGCTTCTCTTTTCTAGCTGTGTGCGGGTGTGTGTTTGTATACAACATGTGTGTTTAGGGGTGGTTACTGAGACGGTTAAAACCACACTATAGAGGATGCTTTGGCTTTCTTAATCTAGAGAAGCAATAAAAATGTAGAATGATTATCAGGGGAAGATGACTTTTGTAAATGTGGATAGAAGGATGGAAATGTAAGGGCCAATTAGAAGATTTATGGGCTAGATTATTTTTGAAAACTATTTTAAATAAGACGATGACTACACTTTCCCTACTAGTAAGTTCTCCTGGAATGGAAGTAACGTGGACACACTCAAGTTTTGGCTCAATAATAATCAATGTTATTTAATTTAGATTATCAAAAGAATACTCATGTAAAGAGGGTATTTATTATTATGCTCTTAATATCATCTTTAATTTTTTCAAAAAAATTATTAGAAATATTAGTATTAGAAGAGAATTTTTGGCTATCCAGTCACCATCTTCTTTAGCCAAGCACAAAGAGAAGCAATGAAGCAGCCTTACCTGGTTTTTTTTGTTTGTTTGTTTTTTGAGGAAGATTGGCTCTGAGCTAACATCTGTTGTCAATCTTCCTCTTTTTCTTCTTTCTCCCCAAAGCCCCAGTACGTAGTTGTATATCCTAGTTGTAGGTCCTTCTAGTTCTTCTATGTGGGATGCGCCTCAGCATGGCTTGATGAGCAGTGAGTAGGTCCGTGCCCAGGATCCGAACCACCAAACTCTGGGCCGCCAAAGCGGAATGTGCGAACTTAACCGCTACACCACTGGGCCTGGCCGCCCTCTCACCTGTTTTTTTTTAATCACTAATGCTTTTACTTGGAGGAAGGCAAAAGAATATTCTTAGTCAGCCATTTAGTAAGCATGCAACTAAACCAAAAGACCTCAAAGTGTGATTGGTTACAAGAATAATCAATGTCTTTTGCTTTCCGAGACACCTGAGCAGTCATGACAAATTGAACCTAAAAAAATAATTGGTTGTTTTCCTATTAAAACTAACATTCCATATGGGTCTTATTCTTCTTTATTTTCTCTAATTTGGTGCTTTCCAAGTCATCTTTCCTTTAAAGTGCCCTTCCTACAAACTTAAAAAAATTCTTCTTTGATAAAAACTGCTATTCATTATAAAACATTCCAATTTTTTAAATTTACTTAAATTTTGCTTTATTGCAAGTCTACCATTTGGTGTCTTAAGGATGAAATGTAGTGCAGACTTATGTCCAGGTTTTAAGTGGGGCTCAATAATGAAAAATGCCACCAGCCACTTTTGTAACAATGGCATCTATAATGCCATCATGTATGCAAGCAATAAAACTCTTCAGGGTGTGTTTTTATACTGAAATTTTAATATGAACGGCCCTAGTCACAAGGATATAGAGAATTAACTTCTAGAAGTGATACTGTAATTCAAATTGCTCTGTATAGGGAATCGGAAGTGTGTGGGGGAAGGGGGCATTATTCCTTGGATTCAAATGATTATCAAAAGCATTTTTACTTTTGTGAAGGGTATGGATGGTGAAACAATTTAAGCACATATGTACTACTTTATCAAGCTACATCTCATTTTCCATGAAGTTTAATACAACATTACAGGTTAGTGTACTTACCCTCACTGGGTGACCTACCCCAATTTTTTAAAAAAATACCCCAACTTAAAAAAAATTACCAAACTTTTTACAAGAACTAATCTTTTAAATGTATCCTGTCCGCATATATAGATATACATTTGGATTTTTAAGAAGAATATTTGTTGCAGTCATAAGTATATAAAGAAAACTACAAACGTCATAGTACTGTGGCATTGTTAAGGATTCTTTGATGCCTTCTAAAAACCTTATATCAAAAATACTTCTGTGAGTTACAATTGTGTGTTACTTTTTCTTGTCTACTTTGAGGAAACAGGGTGTTTTTTCCCCTTCAAATTTTAGATCTCATTTCTGGTTATATTCAAAGCCTTAAGTTCTTATTCTGAGCATATTGTCTGTGATAACTCTAATAATGATCTTTCTGGGCTGGCTATATCCTGAGGAAAAGGCACCAACAAGAGCAAGTAAACTTCTAGGGAACAAAGGTCTTATTTTTTTCAGGTATCCTTGCTATGATGCAGAATAGAAGATTAATTAACATTTCCTACATCACATGATGTTCTTGTTAGCGGGTCTAAGATTAAGCACATGGTATTTATAAGCTAAAATTAATTCAAAAGGCAAAAATGTCTTAATGTTTTCATTCTTAAATTTTGTATTCTTCAAGAATGTATTAATATAAAAACTGTGGCTAACCAGTTCTTATTCTTAGGACTTTATTGACGTCTGTAGTGGATCGTGTTACTTCTTCATTCTCATCCAATTTTAGTAGAATCAAATGGCTTTTTATTTTCATATTACTATCTACTATAGATTCTCCAGGGTTAGAAAATATAAGTATGATATATAAAGACCACTAGATCTACTTTAAAAACGCTTTCTGTTATTTTATGCCAATATGTATGTATGTAAAAACACTGTTGATTTCCAAATCTGTTTTTCCATAGGAATGAAATTTTTATAGAAACTATTCTTTTTAATTTAAACATTTTAACATAAATTATTTACATGGATTTTTAGTATAATTCATTCTTATATATGCCCCGTAATCATGTCATGAGAAGATAACTTTGCTTTCTTTACTGATATGGTGGAGGGGAATAAGATTAGGAACTGAAACAAGCAAGAAGGAACAGAAAGAGGCTGCTGGTCTCCAGATCAGAGCAATGTCTGTTAAGAGGGACATATTTAACTGCAGAAGGGATATAAACTATAAACTATAAATAAATCTCTGTCATTGCATACTCATAGGATGCATTGCACTAGGCCTTTCACCTTGGCCTCTAAATTATACCGTTAGTATCTTGTCATTACTTTCTTTTTCCCTTAGGCTTTAAAAAAATAATAATTTCATTCTACTGGGCCATTTTCTGCACTGCTTACTGACGTAAAAAAAAATCTCTCCGAAGTCAATCATGGTCTTCTACTGTCTGGACTGATCGTTTGGTAGAATGCAGTGTCTTCTGTGTTTTGAGGTGAGATAGCACATGGCTTCTACAAGATAGTTTTTAACTCGTTGGGGTCACTAAGAGTCACATGATGGTCACCCCCTCCTAAAATTCATTATAGATGGAATTAGTGAGATTAGGTAGAGTTAGTGAAAACTTAAATCAAGAAATCTCATTGTAGCATATTTTAACAAGTGAATACCAAATACATAGAGTAATATATGTAGGTTTGGGAAGAAATATAATAGTCTGTGGGGGCCATTATGATAACAGAATTGTATTATATATTACACATTGTATGGATGTTGGAATGTATCACTTGGGGGGGGGCGTCTCCCTTCATTAGCAATCATGTCTGTATATAAAACTTTGTTGTGTTTTTTTGTTTTTTGTTTTTTTTTAACCAAACTAGAATTTCATTTTGTGAGTGACAATTGACTGATAGTTTTGAATAAGTGTTATCTGGGTTTTTGAATTGTTGACTGATCAGTTTGAAAAGGTATGTTAGAATTTTAGAGTTAACTCAAATGTGAAAAAGTGTACACAAAAAGTAATTTTTCTTTTCTAGCTGTATCAATGTAAAAACTTGCAGATAGTGTATATATTGTGTAACATATGTATATTTGGTCATAAAGGCAGAGAATTAGAAACATTGTAAAATTAAGCACTTTAATTCCTATTAAATATTAAACATTTGTATCTTGTAAATAAATAGATCCTTAAATGAATTCAAGACTCATGTTATTTCAGCTAGGATTATGTATGTTCGGTTCACAATGATTTTGGTTGGCTCAGAAAAAAGTTATTCCAAAGGGTACTGATACACTTTCCCACCTCCAGCCCCAAGACCTGTGTTAAGTTTTTCAAGAATAAAGCTTGTGACAGAAGCCAGGGTTCCCAGGTGTAGATAAAGGGGCTTCTCCCTGTGATAACTCCAAGGCTAGATCTCCAGGAACCAGTAAAACAGTGCTGCTCTGTTTTCTGGGAAATGACTGCTTTACTCCATAGTAGTGGTATTTGCCTACATAGCTCAGTCTTATATGGTGAAACAGACATGGAAGTCAAAAGAACTCTGAGTCTTAATCCTCCTATTACTTGTTATGTGACCTTAGACGATTTACCTGAATCCCACTAATAAACTCTATGGTCATTCCAAGAAATAAGAAAAAGATGCTTGGTGACTACAAAGCAGTATACAAATGGCATTTCATGGAACACTTCACTGGGTTTCATACAGTTACCTTATTGTCTTCTTTTGATTTAAAAAATAAAAGATATGCCAAAAAGGAATCCTAAATGAATTGAGTATGATTTCATAAGTAAAACAGTCCAGAGATAATCCTTTTTAGAAGTTTATTACCTTTTTCAGGCCTTAAAGAACTAATTTGTTAATTGATGCCTACAAGCAGCATCAGCTAAGGAATTCTTTAAAATAAATGTTGCCCTTGGCTCATCAATATGACTTGCTTGGGTCCACCTTACACCAGAGTGGAAATGTGCTGGAGAGAGCCAGTGTGGCTACTTCAGGGCTTCTCCAACTCTCAAGTACAAGGAGTCACCTGGGGATCTTATTAAAATGCAGATTCTGATTTAGCAAGGTCTGGGATGATGCAGTTCTAACAGGGTCTATGGCAATGCTGATGTTCCTCAAACCATCCACGGAGTAGCGAGCTTATAGTGGGAGGACTCTGTCATAGACAACTGGCTAGAAATCCCTGGCTTTGCCGCTTACTGTTGTGACTTTAGGCACAAACTCTTCCTTGAAAAGCTGTGGGGCTTAAATTAGACAATATGCTATAATATCGTCTGGCTCCTATGAGACATGCAGCACATGATTGTTAATATTATTAATAGAGATCATTTAGGGCCGGCCCGGTGGCTTAGCGGTTAAGTGCGCGCGCTCTGCTGCTGGCGGCCTGGGGTTTGGATCCCGGGTGCGCACCGACGCACCGCTTCTCCAGCCATGCTGAGGCCGCGTCCCACATACAGCAACTAGAAGGATGTGCAGCTATGACATACA